GTGTGTGTGTGTGTGCTTTCTTTAGGGGGGGGGATGGTTTTGTCCTCTGAATGTCATAGTCGACAACAGGAAAATCAAGCAAGTAGAAGAGTTCAAATACCTGGGAAGTGTGCTTTCCCAAGACGGAAAGACGGACAGAGAAATAGAAACTAGAATAATAAAGTCATTGCTGTGACTTACCAACTGGTATAGTTTCTTTCACATCCAAAATTCACAATGGAAACAAAGCGCTAATTCCTCATTAACATTATGTTCATACCAACAGTGTTGTAACCAATCCAAAAATGGCCAATAAGAAGAGTTACCACAATAAAATCAACGCCTGTGAAATTAGATGCCGAAGAAAAACTTTGAACCCCACTGGAGGAGACAGGGTGGGAAACGAATTTGTTAGAGAACTTGTTTGCTCAGTTACCTGCTTGCGACACATAGATAAACTACGAATTAAATAGTTTGGGCATCTGTCAAACTACCCTCAGACAACATAACAGCGAGGGTATACAACCAGAGATCAGATGGAAACAGAGGAAGAGGTAGGCCCAAGAAAAGATGGATAGAAGGGGTCAGAGAATTATTAGGCAAGAACGAAATAACCATGCAGCAGACGATATAACAAACGAGAGGAAAAAGTTTGCTTCTCCCCCTCGACCCCACACTGTAACAGAGGTCAGAAAGAGTCACACCTTCACCTATCCTGAAGACTGGATGTTAGTCCTGGTGCTTTGGAAGATTTGGCCGCCATGTTCCTCCACACCTTCCAGTCTTCAGCTTTTCTGAGCGCGTCTTTGAGTTTCAGGCCTGTTCATTCCTTGATGTTGTCCCCCCAACTCTTCTTCGGTCTGCTTCTGCTCCTTTTTCCCTGGACGCTGCCTTACAGGATCATCTTGGCAAGGCCGGATGAACGGGTGATGTGTCCATTTAAAAACTAAAAATAAGTAAGCTTGCTCACCAAACGCCATAGCGCCAGGTGTAATGTAAATGGATCACTTGGGCCACTTTCAGTCTACACTTTTGTTCAAAATATCTGACTTTTTGAAGTTAGCAGGATTTCCCCACAGTGAATTCAGGTGACCAGTGTCGAAGGTCTTGCTGAAGCCCGTACATTAACGTGGACAGATGAGTCTCGTTCATTCCTTTCTCCCATGTTAGGTTTAGTAAGGTTTTACGGCGCTCGCAACAGCATAAGGTTATAATAGCGTTGTCAAGGGGTGGATGTCAACAGAGAAGTCCAAACGGGGAATCAGGCTTACTATACTCACCTCTCAAGCCTCAACAGCACAAAGTCTGCTTCGACTATCAAGACACCTCGGAAATAGCAGTTCACAAGAGAGTGACAAACATACTACAGAAGTAGAGGTAAAATGACGATAGTAAGGATGAGGAAAGAAAAAGCAGCAGCAGTTACCCCTATGTTGTTCCGGCACAGTATGAGCATGACATTGATAAATCAGCTCATTTACTATTCTACTGTGCATAAGAACATGTTAATATCCCCCCATTTTGGAATGACCTAAATACAGCTTCATTCAGTAGAACTGCCCTTGTGGGGGGAGCCTCTCTCCCAGGACCTGCCCCAGAGACAGATCGCTACTTCAGAATTACAAAGTTCTCTCTGACATTTTTGACCGGATTTTACTGAGATCATGAGATCAGAATACAAATGTTCTATCTGCTCTATCAAAATCGTAAGATTATACGTAGTCATTATCAAAATATTCAACGAACTGCGTTCGAAAAAGTTTGACATGATGTGAAACTCAAAATATTTGACGTCAAAATTCTCAAAACTACTATGCACTGTGCAGATTTTTAATTCTGAGGTTGCGAGGTGTATTCGGAACAAGATAGCCTTGATCTAAATTTTGCTTGATCTTGCTTAATGTGCTCAAACAAGCCATCTGAAAGACTTCTGTTCGCGATTCTTTTGGGGATGTTGTTTGAAAAGGAAAGTAATAATAGTAATAATAATAATTTTAGCTATTAATAATAATTTTAGCTATTAACGGCTAACAGGTCAGCCTTTAGGGGGAAACCATGATTAATCCATTTGTCCACTTTTGTGGTGTCCTTCACTTTCCCAGATGTGATGAAACGTAACTGTTAGCAACTTTTAGCATGTCTCTTGTCACTGCAGCAAAGTCTCCTATTTTGTCACACTTCATTGTTATAATTACAATCTTCAGTTCCCCAAGAGTATGTGGATTTGTATTGATTACTAAGGTGTTGTTCGCCACTGGAATGTCTGCAGTGTATAAGGGATCTGTCTTGCTTATGTTTGCCCAGAAGGTGTCTTTCCGTACAAGAATTCCATCCTATTCCTTTGATATCGCGCTACTTTTTTTGTTCTTCACTGGTGTGTTACTTTTTCTGTAATTACAGCCTATATTGTCTAGTATTATCTGAAATGATGATTATGAATAAGCAAAATGGGCAAGGGTGTTAATGTGAAGCTTTGTTTGTCTGCACAGGGGATACACGACCACACATATCACAATTTTAGCATAGTATGAGATGAAAGCGAACTTGGATTCGATCAGAGAGAGAGAGAGAGAGAGAGAGAGAGAGAGAGAGAGAGAGAGAGAGAGAGAGAGAGAGAGAGAGAGAGACAGACAGACAGACAGACAGACAGACAGACAGACAGACAGACAGGCAGGCAGGCAGGCAGGCAGGCAGGCAGGCAGGCAGGCAGGCAGAGAATCGGGAACCTTCTTTTCTTAATTAATCCGTTTCATTGACATCAAATATCTCAAAACTCTGCATTACAGACTCTTGTCATGCTCAGCAATGTGGCCTATCTCCACGACCCTCTTTGTGTTTCTGACCCGGAAGAGTTCCGCCCTCGACGATGGCTACGGGGAGAGAACCGGGAAAAAATAGAGACAATCCCACACGCCGCCTTCCTGCCATTCGGTAAGTTCTAAATTTGTTTTAGATGTTTTACAACGCTCACTGCATAAGGTCATGGGAACGCGCAGGACACGACAAAGATTTCTAGTTTGGTCGGAATTATATTTTGAATTTTGCTTAGGTGGCGGCCGAAGCCTCGATTTTGGACCACCAAGGGATCTTTAATGTGGAGGAACCGTAAAAAAAAAAATTGCAAAAAGAGTCAGGAGGCCAGATGAGGGGAAAAAGGAGGTGAAGGGGTGAGGACAGAAAGTGGAGACGAAAGCAGACGGCAGAACACTGTTAGAGAGCAGGAAAGGAGGTGAAAGGAGAATTTTTTTAAAAGAACATTTTCCGTCGCTGCCCGGATTCGAACCCAGAGAGGCGAACACCATAGCCTGTCGACCACGATAGCCCCTGTTCTAACTTTATCATATAAATAATATTTAGCTTTTGTGCAGCTCAAATTCCCGTTCAACAGCAAGCTCTTTGCGCTTTGTAATGTATATTATTACCCAGCACACATGATAGCATTCTGAAACAAATCTAAACTTTCCGGGAATCATACAGTGCAAGCTGTCATTTATAGGCGTTTTATATTCTAAAGTTTCGGACACATATTAATGTCAGATCATCAGCAGACCAAAGGCAATGTTGTGGCACATTTCAAATAACCACACGCAAATCAGAAACACAAATATGCATGCTTTTTCTTTCCTCATCCTTACTATCGTCATTTCCATCTACTTCTTTCGTATGTTTGTCACTCTGTAGTGAATTGCTACTTCCAAGGTGCCTTGATAGTCGAAGCAGACGTTGTTCTGTTGAGGCTAGAGAGGTGGGCAGAGTAAGCCTGATCCCCTGTTTGGACTTCTCTACTTCTCTGTTGACATCCACCCCTTGGCGCTCATATAGCCTTATGCAGTTGCGAACGCCGCAAAACCTAACTAAAACAAACTAAAATATGCATCCTTTTGAACATGAATGTCGGTTCTTGCCCAGTTAAAGAAAACTGAATCGGAAGAATCTGCATGATATTCAATAACAGCGAACGATCTTGTCAGTGTGTTGGTGTTTCAGAGTATAAAATGACAGCTTGCCCTGTATGCTTTCCAGGAAGGTGAGATTGTGCCAGAATGCTATCAGATCTTCTGTGGTAATGATACCGATTTAAAAACTCACAGAACTAGCTGTTGAGCGGGAATATGTACTATACAAATGCTGTCTACATGTAATTTTATTATTATGAATAAGGAGGTTACCATGCTTCTATTTTTAAGTGCACAAAAGCAGCAGATCGTCAGGCGTTGTTGGAGGACCAAAATGCGCGCCCACAATGAGATAACCTGTACTTTCCAGCCCGAGTCGGTCTTTGGAACCTTTCGATAAACTATAAAGCAGGCCTAGGAGTAGAAACGTATACTTGCTTTACGAAGATCTCAATGTTTACCTCAACGAAGTTCTTCTTAGCAGGCATAAAAACTCATTGTCTTTTACAGTTTGCTACCCTAGAATTACAAAGTCCTATCTGCTCAGTTCCTAGTTATGAGAAATTTAACCGTAAAAATTGTTGAGTTTCACAACATAGCAAGGTTTTTAAAATACAATTCTTTCAATATCTTGATAACGACTCCGAATAATCTTGCCATTTTTACAAAGCAAAAATAGAATGTTTGGTTTCTGACCTCATGGTACTAGTGAGTCAAAACGATCAAAAATGTCAGAGAGAACTTTGTAATTCTAAGGTATAGAGTTGTCTCTTGAACTTTTTGTGTTAGTAACGCCTGATCACGTAAACTAACCACGAGTCGGCGCTGTTGCCGACAGTTTGCTCGAGGCAAGGGTTGTCCTTTTTTCAGCAATTCCGGGAACATCTTTTACCTAAGACATGGAAAAAAGTGATTCCAGTGGACAGGTGTTATGTCGTGACAGTGGTCAGTGTGCATGTGTTGTGTTATTGTGACAGTGGTCAGTGGGCATGTGTTGTGTCATTGTGACAGTGGTCAGTGTGCATGTGTTGTGTCATTGTGACAGTGGTCAGTGGGCATGTGTTGTGTCATTGTGACAGTGGTCAGTGTGCATGTGTTGTGTCATTGTGACAGTGGTCAGTGGACATGTGTTGTGCCATTGTGACAGTGGTCAGTGGGCATGTGTTGTGTCATTGTGACAGTGGTCAGTGGACAGGTGTTGTCTCGTGACAGTGGTCAGTGGAAATGTGTTGTGACGTTATGACAGTGGTCAGTGGACAGGTGTTGTCTCGTGACAGTGGTCAGTGGGCATGTGTTGTGTCATTGTGACAGTGGTCAGTGGATAGGTATTGTCTCGTGACAGTAGTCAGTGGGCATGTGTTGTGTCATTGTGACAGTGGTCAGTGGACAGGTGTTGTGTCATGATAGTGTTCAGTGGACAAGTGTTGTGTCGTGATAGTGTTCAGTGGACAGGTGTTGTCTCGTGACAGTGGTCAGTGGACAGGTGTTGACAGTGATCAGTGGACAGGTGTTGGCAGTGTTCAGTGGACAGGTGTTGTGTCGTGACAGTGGTCAGTGGACAGGTGTTGTCTCGTGACAGTGGTCAGTGGACAGGTGTTGTCTCGTGACAGTGGTCAGTGGACAGGTGTAGTGTCATTGTGACAGTGGTCAGTGGACAGGTGTTGTCTCATGACAGTGGTCAGTGGACAGGTGTTGTCTCGTGACAATGGTCAGTGGACAGGTGTTTTGTCGTGACAGTGGTCAGTGGACAGGTGTTTTGTTTTGTCGTGACAGTGGTCAGTGGACAGGTGTTGTGTCATTTGGGCAGTGGTCAGAGGATATTTAATGTGTCGTGACAGTGGTCAGTGGACATTTAATGTGTCGTGACAGTGGTCAGTGGACAGGTGTTGTCTCCTGACTGTGGTCAGTGGACAGGTGTTGTGTTTTGTCGTGACAGTGGTCAGTGGACAGGTGTTGTGTCATTGTGACAGTGGTTAGAGAACATTTAATGTGTCGTGACAGTGGTCAGTTTACAGGTGTTGTCTCGTGACAGTGGTCAGTGGAGAGATGTTGTGTAGTGACAGTGGTCAGTGGAGAGATGTTGTGTAGTGACAGTGGTCAGTGTACAGGTGTTGTCTCGTGACAGTAGTCAGTGGACATTTAATGTGTCGTGACAGTGGTCAGTGGACATGTGTTGTGTTGTGACAGTGGTTAGTGAACAGGTGTTTTGCCATGGTGACAGTGGTTAGTGGACAGGTGTTGTGTCATTGTGACAGTGGTCAGTGGACAGGTGTTGTGTCGTGACAGTGGTTAGTGAACACATGTTTTGCCATTGTGACAGTGGTCAGTGGACAGGTGTTGTGTCGTGACATTGGTCAGTGGACAGGTGTAGTGTCATTGTGACAGTGGTCAGTGGACAGGTGTTTTGTCGTGACAGTGGTAAGTGAACACATGTTTTGCCATTGTGACAGTGGTTAGTGGACAGGTGTTGTGCCATTGTAACAGTGGTCAGTGGACAAGTGTTGTGTCGTGACAGTGGTCAGTGGACAGATGTAGTGTCATTGTGACAGTGGTCAGTGGACAGGTGTTGTGACGTCGTGGCAGTGTTCAGTAGACAGGTGTCCTCCAGTATGCCGAGTGTTGATTGATCATACTTGTTTTAGGGCTGCTTCAGTTTATTTCTTAGGATCAGTCCAGGCTGAGCTCAACTGAGCTGACTACAGCATTCGTGAAGAAAAACGAAGACACTTTTTCTGATATATATTAAAGTATGGTATAAGACCAGTGATCCAATTTCAACAAAATTTTGAATAGATAAGATTCAACGTCAAATTTATCAATGATTGAAAACAGTAAAATGTTTGAAAAATGTAGTTTTCACAATTTCAACTAAAATTGAGCAAATCGCATAGCTTTTCAACTTCTTAAAGTTCAACGATAGTGCGCATTTGTGCGTTGAAGAATGTTTGAAACTGAAATTACCCCCCCCCCCGCACCACAAACAACACCCCACCCAAAGCAAAACGAAACAAAACAAAACAAAAAGCAACATTTTTGAAAACGCAATGTTTTTCCTTTTTAGGGTTTTGGGAATACATTCTACGGAAACAGCTGAATAGCATTCGAACAGTTGAAACTCATTGTCAAACAGGCGTTGAATTTTACTATTATTTTTAAAAAGTTTGTTGAAATTGATGCGAAGGTGACGAATTGTTGCCCTTTAAACGGGTCCTTTTTTATGTAGAAAAACTCTATAGTGTGGTCAAAACTCCGTGGCGCAACTTATCCTCAAATGTCTCTTACAGGTGAATCAATGTCACCCATGTGTAATCATACTTTTCCATAACAGCTGAGGCTTTATAAAAAAACAACTGTTCTTTATAAATCTATATGAAATACTATAAATCTCGGTCATGCTGAAAATGGGATTGTTCACACCATTTCCCGCTTCTCACACACATTTTACATACGCATTTGGCCTACGTCACAGCTCACCAATGACACTCTTTAGTGGCAAAACTCGTCACAAGAAACATAGTGAACATTTTTGCACTAAAGATTCTAAAAACATGCGTTCAATAAGTATAATGTCGCGATTAGAAAAAAATGACTGACTTACTTTTAAAAGCGATGTTGTCCCAGCTGTAAACCTTTAAAAATCTATAGAAACCACCCACTTGGATTTTTAATTAGTCTTTCTAAAATCCAACTAACAGGTGTTTACAAAATTATGGATCTGTTAAAACAAATTGATACCATATATTGTAAAAAGTTGGAGAGTCTTTGTTCGATAGTTGAGGAAATATTTGACAATAAGTTGCTCCACGAAATTTTGACTGCACTATAAGTGTCAACAAACCCGAGAGAGGTGAAACAAATCAAAACTACAAAGTACGCCTTAGTTTTTGCCTCTATTCTGACAAATGTTTCAGATTGTAACATTTTTGATTAACCGAGTTTGTGTTCGCTTGTAGAGGTGAGAAACCAGTTTTTACGCCATCTTCAAATAATTATCACAACTCAGACCCTCATCCATATGCTTATTGAAACAAAAACTAATTTTATTTACGTAGAAGGTAAGGAAAGTAAGTGCTTTGCGTCTGCGCAGTTAATTTACGAAACTGTTATAATTATAGTGAGTTTAGACAAAGCCTTACGTGCATTTTCGTCTTTTTCGTAACTGTTTGTGCTACTTTTAGAATTTTTATTTGGACTTGTGTTATCTTAGTGCTCCTTTTATATACAACCCCCCCCCCCCCCCCACACACACACACTAAAAAAAGCAAAATAAAAATAAAAGCAAAAACAAAACAATGGCGTCGTCAAGAGCTATTCACAAACAACTGAAAACTTGAAATTACTGACCGACAAAACGAAAAATCAAAACGTTATATCAAAATGGGCATGTGCGTAACAAACAATAGGCCCACTGACGTAAGCGTTCGTGTTACAATGAATGCACAAACCCTTTTCATTATGTAACTTGTGACGAGACACCTATCTACAATATACCATTGTCGTGAACCCAGTACTGCTGCATCAACGTCATCATGCGACTGAAACGAAGAGTGCGTCAAAGCTTTGATTACAGCTCTATTAATTTCGGGCCCTCACAACTTCGCACGCTGTGACCCGTGCATTTTTTCAAGCTTATGGAGTAGTTTAACACACATATGACTACCACAGGTGAAAACAAAATCACGAAATGGAAACGGAGGAAGATTAAAAGGAATAGTCGGAGTAATATCATCGGAAGGGAAAGATGAATATGACAAGACGTGACGATTGTTCATGTTACAACGCAGTCATTATTCATCTGATTTGCTGGATTTCAAACATACTGCGCGTGAATGAAAGAATGGGGGTAGCGTGCAGGGGTTGTCAGCACCTCTCGAGAACTGCGTTATATGACGTTTCTCCCCCCCCCCCCCCACACACACACTTATCTACTGCCCAGTCCCACAGTCTATATAACAACAGTCGGCATTCAGGAGGAAAGGGGGGAAGGGGGGGGGGGGGCATCAGACCACACTCGGACAGTGTCTTTGATGGTCGGACCCATGTCTAAAAAACCAAAACCAAAACAAAACAAAAACAAAAACAAAAACCCAACAAAAAACAACAACAAAATAAACAAATCCAAACCAAACAAACAAAAAATCTAACACAAACAAATAAACAAACAAACAAATTAACGAACAAACAAACAATAACCTCCCCCAAGAAAATAAATAAAATTAAAATAAGGAAACCTTTCCTCCCCCAACCCCCATTTGGTCGCTTTTAAGCACAAGGGGGCTATCCCGAAAATTCTGTTTCGAGAAAATCGAAGATAACGTTTTTGCCCCTTGTTCACTTTCTTTTAAAGTCAATGGGAGCTTTCTCTATAACCAAACAAATACACACTCCAATGAAACCAAATTTCTCCTTTTGGCAGGGCAATGCCAACTTTTGGTGTAGGTCAAGATTTTTGGAAACCCCCGAAACCTGGGCTAGCCCGCTTGTCCTTAAAAAGCGACTATTTATTAAAATAATTGTGTGTTTCCCTTGCTCTTAATTTCAGATGTGGCTCATGGCCCAATCGGGAGAATGCCCAGCTTATGATTTTGAATTAATTAATTATTATAAACAAAGACAAAACGTTGATTCTAAGAGCTGTTTGGATCTGATTTTTTTTCTGAACTATAAGACAAACATTTTTAGTGCCGATATTTGGAAAAATTGGTGAATTTTATCCAAAGATAAATATAAGTTAAATAAATGTTTCATTTTTCAAATAGTCGGCCTATAGATCTATACATATCTAGGCATTACTGGTCTTTCTTCACAGCTATCAAGTTAAAATTTCATGATCATTCGTTAAACCTATAACGTTTAAGAGTTGTTTATCTTTCATGTCTAACTACTTTTCCCTAGGGATCGGATCTCGAATGTGCCTGGGTAAAAGATTTGCGGAGCAGATTTTGTATCTTGGATTGATCAAGGTGAATATATTGTTGTTTGGACGCCATTAACAGAGACATAATATATCATGGATATTTCCTGGAACACTTTGTGTTACAGTCCTCTAGCTGTTTAATGCAAAGAGACAATATACATATACTATAGTGATACAATTGTCTTTGTGCAGCTCTTACTTCCCTGCTGCTACTGCTACAACTGCTGCCACGACCGTTACTGTTGTTGTTGCTACTACTACTACTACTACTACTACTACTACTACTACTACTGCTACTGCTACTGGCGCTGCTGTTGCTGCTGCTGCTGCTTCTGCCGCTGCTGCTACCACCACCACTGCTACTACAACTACTACTATAATTAATACGCTGCTGCTACCTCTGCTATTCTCAATGGTTGTTCTTCGTGAAAAGATGGAATACGACAAAGTACAGCCCCCTAGGTGGCATCTACACCAGAAAACATGAAACAGAACAGCAGTAACGCCATGCCTCTGGTTCTCCAAAATAAAATCACACTTTGGCCCGTATATTCCTTTTTTGAGGCTCACTGCGGTTTTGTGGTTGAGAGGGATACAACATCCAAGCAGAAAGACCAAGATAAAAACGAAAAGAACATACACACAAACCGGCACCACCAGGTTAGCAACAACTACAGCAGCACCACATCAACCATCAACAAAAACTAATAAAGTTTATAGCGTTGAAAACAATGCACCTGTGCGCCCCCCCTCTGCTCCCCCTCCCTGCTCCCCCTCCCT